TGTGGTTGAGGGTGGCTATATTTTCCAAGTAGCCATTCAACTTTCCCTTGCTAGCCTGAATCCAAAGGTCAAAGTGCACATTGTTTTTAGTCTAAAAGTTTACAGAATGTTAGATAATTTATATGTATTAGAGAATGAACCATGTGCTTATAAATTAATTACTGTGTATTCATGGAACTGTACCTTTCTAGTTAGTGCTGAGATCAAATCCAGAGCATCAGGCGCCAGGCAAACGCTCTATCACTGAGCCGTATCCCCATCTGAGGAGTGGTACGGCCTTTCCGTCTCCATGGAAGAGGGAAGCTTACAGAGTGATAATGGCAGCAAGCAGAGAGAAAGAGCCTGGCAGTCATTCTTCTAGTACCGGGTGACTTGGGACATCAGACTGACGGATACTTGAGATCTGAGATAGGCACTGGTGCTGGTTTGGGAGGAGAGATCCGTGGACTAAGGGAGTCCATGGCACAGTTTCTACACCCGCTCTCTGGAGTGCTGAGGATGTGGGAATCCAGGAATGACTATAATGTGCAGGGGCAGAGCGAACCAAGAATGCATTCTCTTCTTCAAAATTATCAAGACTCCCAGAATGGCCACTAGACATCCATCAGTTATGTTTCTGTTGCTTTGATAAAACCGACTAAGGCAACTTACAGAAGAAAGAGTTTGTTTGGGCTTATGGTCCAGAAGGATAGGTCCATAATGGTGGAGGCAGCGTGGCAGCATACGGCAGGCGTGCTGGTTGGAGCTGGAAGCTTCCTCATATGCTAACATGAGAAGAGCTCACTACATCTATGATGAGGGCACCCAGCTATGACGAGGGTTCACATGTATGACGAGGGCTTCCATCTATGACGAGGGTTCACATGTATGATGAGGGCTCCCAGCTATGACGAAGGTTCACATGTATGACGAGGGTTCACATGTATGACGAGGGCTCACATCTATGACCAGGGTTCACATGTATGACGAGGGTTCACATGTATGGCGAGGGCTCACATGTGTGACGAGGGCTCACATCTATGACAAGGGTTCACATGTGTAACGAGGGGTCACATATATGACGAGGGCTTCCGTCTATGATGAGGACTCACATGTGTGATGAGGGTTCACGTCTATGACAAGGGTTCACATGTATGACGAGGGCTCACATCTAAGCTGAGAGCTTACAGCTCAAACTACAATCAGGAAGCAGAGTCAGTGGAATGGGAATGGCACATGACTTTGAAACCCCAAAGCTCACCCCTGCAACATACTTCCTCACCAAGGCCACACCTCACACTGGGGATTCAAACTCATTTCCTTATCTTTGTCTGGGAGTCCGTTTACCAGCTGAGCCATCGCCCCAGTTCCTAGGGTATATTGTAACAAGAAGAAGCCAAAAGCCCAAAAGCGGTCCTTGATGACTTAGTAAGCAGTCAAATGTGTAAATTCGGTATAGCATTGTTGAAAGAGAATGACTTTTTAATTCTATAGTTTATATGAACCTCATAAATCAGACTGCTCAGTAAGTCAGCTGTATTTTTAAAATTATATTCACTGCAAGGGAAAGAGGAGAGGAAAGCAATTCATGACACATTCAGTGATGGAACTATAATGATATTTTGTTTGTAATCTAACAAATAAAGCTTGTCTGAAGATCAGAGTGCAGAGCTGTGCCACTGGTTAGACATAGAGGCCAGGCAGTGGTGGCTCACACTAGAGAAGTGGAGGGATACGGGAGAGACGAATGTAAGGAGGGAGGAGACAGAGCTCAGATGCATTCTGAGGACTCTTGTAGAGGTAAGGACTAGCGGCTCTGCCTCTCTCAGCCTTCACCTCCTAGATACCTGACTCTGGGTTTTGTTATTAATGCCAATTAGAATTCATGCTACAGGGGGCAGCTTGCGAATCCTCCATGACTCTGACAAACTGATCGCTGAACTGGACTCTTTGCAGGAAGTTCATTTTTAATCCATCCAATCCCTATGAATAAATGTCTCAGATATGACACTCTGCCTGGTTTATTGCCTCTATAGGTTTTAGGGCTGGTGACTGCCACTTTTGCTGAAGTGATTCATGGTTTCCGTGGCACAGGAGACTGTCATTTGGTTAACCTCGTATTCTCAACATCTACTCTTCATTGGAGATAATAACCATAAAATATTTATGAGCTGGATGGTGATGGCGCATGCCTTTAATTCCATCACTCAGGAGGCAGAGGCAGGCGGAACTTTGTAAGTCCCAGGCCAGCCTGGTCTACAGAGTGAGTTCTAGGACAGTCAGGGCTATACAGAGAAACCCTGTCTCAAAAAACCAAGAGAATAAATAAAAATAAAATAAATATGAAAAACACAAAATATTATTTTATCAGTCCATTATTTAAATTGTAGTACTAGAGCTAAAACCCAGGGCCTTGTGCATGTTTGGTTAGTGCTCTGCCCCTGAGCCACACGCCAGCCCTCAGGACCCCATGAAGGGTGAGCAAGTCAGATGCTGACCACTCTCAGGATGTTTCTAGTGCGGTGAGCCAGCCTGGGGTGTGGTGGATGTGGTTCTGGGGTGAAGTGCTCGCTGTGGCTGAGGCCCAGGACCTATGGAAAAGCTGGGCATCATGACAGGCACAGATAACCCTGTAACTGGGGTTTGGACATGTGATGACCCTTAGCACTCTCTGGGCAGTTAGCTACCTCATGGTAAGCTTCCGGTTCAGTGAGAGACCCTGCTTCAAAACAAACAAATGCCCCTTAAACTTCCCACACAACAGCAACAAAACAGCAAGGTGGAAAAGCAGCCGAGGAAGACATCCTGATGCCAAACTCTGGCCTCTACAGTTGTATATACAGTGTATATACCACACATGTAACACACACACAGAGTACAGAAATAACAAAAGACACACCCATGTAACACACACACATAGGACAACAAAAATAACAAAAGACACATCCATGTAACATACAGACACACACATAGAGTGCAGAGATAAAAGACAGACACTCCCATGTAACACACATACACGCAGACACAGACACACACAGAGTGCAGAGATAAAAGACAGACACACCCATGTAACACACATACACAGACTATAGAAATAACAAAAGACACATCCACATAACACACACACAGACACACACAGACACAGTGCAGAAATAACAGAAGATGGCAGAAAGGTGTTGAGAGGTGCCTCAGGAAGATGATGTCATACCCTAGGCAACTGGACTTCTATCCTGGACCTCTGACCTCTTGGTTTTTAGGAGACCCTACTCTGGGTCAAGGCTGATCTCATGGGAACCAGAACTCGGGAACCCAGCCTGAGGCTTCATCAGTTTGTCAGTGTAAATATTCATACCTCCTTTGTTCAAGTCACCCTGCCTGTGTTAGGGAGCCGTCGGGATTTAGGTCAGTAGCTGTTAAGCATGTGTTGGATGGTAGCAAGGACCATCACAGAACAGAACATGCAAGTTCCCTGAATAACAGCCACCTCCATTCCAGGGCTATCAATCTCCTCAAGACCTTAGGACTCGGCCCATCTTTTGGAGGGTTCCCAACACTAACACTACGAACATAGACAGGGTGACTCCCATCGTGGATAGGGAACTTACTAAATTCCTGTTTTCTGTGGGCTCAGGTGGAAGGAGGGGAAGGGGGAGAGGCTGTGGGAGTGGTAAACGGTCAGCTTCTTGCTGAGTCTGGGAGAGGTAGGCTTTGTCCCACACCGAGACTGCCTTTTCCTGATTGTTCTATGCTACCTTGGAAGCTTCCTAAACACCTCTCCGCCCTAACCATCTTTGAACTGTAAGGCAAAAGGATACCACTAAACTGTGCATTTGGTCAGCGGCAGATTGGCTTATGCCCCTGCCCATTCTGTCTGCTTTCCCACATCCCTTGCTTTATACTGATTGCTTGGGCAGCATTTTTTTATTTTTTATTGAGTGATTAGTGTTACGGTCACCACGGTGTTCACCTCGTCCACGCTTCTGCAGGGTAGGACAAACACTTGTAAAACGGCGCTCTAAGAGTTAGACACGCAACAGAGGGGAGACCCACGACTTGTGTCCCGCCTCCATCTCTGGGGCTACAAGGGCTGCCACCTGCTCCTGCAGCTGGAACCCACAGTTACCTTCACTTGGAGTTACAAAGCTCAGCCCTGCTGAGCCTTCACTGGCATCGGTGACCTACTGCCGGTGGCCAGGGTGGTCACCGCGGCAGCTGTGGCTGCTGGATCCTCTTTCCCCACCATAAACTTGAGAAAAACCGGACCCAAGAACACCCTCCACAGGAGCGCTCCCTCATTCCCGCCTCCCTTTAGCTCCTCTTTTTCATCTGTGTGTCTTCCACAACCCTTCCTCCTCTCAAACAACTTCCCCACCCAAATATACATCCACCCCGACTCCAGCTTTCCACAGTCAGGGGTCTTCCGGCCTCTGTACCGCGCGAACACCGCAGTGGCCTCGGTCCGCCAGTGCTTGAAGGCTCATGATCTCAGCCGGACGGGTCACTGCGCTCCAGGTCCCGCCCCATGCAGAGCGGCTCCCTGCACCCTCTTCCCAGTCGGTGTCCCTCAAGGCCGGTTTCACCCAAGCCCTCGGGTCAGCAGTTCTCCTCTAACCCCCTCCAAGTCCCTTACCTTTCGCAAATAGGGATTGTCACTGTATCCTCCGGGTCCACCCCTCTAGGTTAGCTGCACTGTACCCTTTCCCAGCCCAGCTAAGTCCCTCCTGAGCTCACCGTCTCGTCTTCCCTCCCTTCCCCAAGTCCCTCCAGATTGTTGCTGTGCACCCCGGGGCCGCCCCTCCAAGAACGCTCCGAGTCCAGAGCCCCTGTCCCTGGCCGTCTGTGTCCCCGCCGCCCCTGCAGCGCCGCCCAGCGTGGTTCCTGAGCCTCTGTCCGGGCAGCTTCAGGGTGGCCCATCCTCCGGGAGCTGGCCCCGCCCCGGACCCGCTCCGCCCCCGGCCGCCTAGGCTTGATTGGTCGCGCGCCCCCCTCCCGGGGCTCCTCCCCGCCCCCTCGGTCCGTGGGCACCGCCACCTGGTCCAGAGAGTCCCCCGAGGGGACCTAGAGGCTCCGCTCGAGCCGGGCGCTCACTGTGGGGCCGCGGAGGGAGCGCGGGCCAGGGAGGAGGAGCGAAGGTGTAGGACAGAACTTCGCCAGGAACAGGAAACCTACGGCAGGGCAGAGGCGGCGACGGCGGCGCGGGGCCATCGCGGTGTCCCCAGCAGTGGCCTCGCTGCTGCGCGCCAGGCTGAGCCGTTCGGACTCCTTGGACTCCACTTTTCTGAGCTCACCGTTGCGCGCAGCGGAGACAGCGGGGACGGCCACAGGAGCGTGAAGCAGCATGTCTGACAAAATGTCCAGCTTCCTCTACATTGGGGACATCGTGTCCCTCTACGCGGAGGGCTCGGTCAACGGCTTCATCAGCACCCTGGGGTAAGCAGGACGCGCACTGGGTAGCGCCAGCCTGTCCCGGTCCCGGTCCCTCCCGCGCGGCGTGTCCGGGGTCTGCGCCTGGGGCAGCCCCGGGTTCCCTAGGTCCCCGCGCGCAGGAAGCCGCGAGCGCTTCTCAGCAACTTCGTAATCTCCAGCCCGAGACACATCCGAGAAGAGGAAGTGGTTCGCACGCCCCGGACAGGCCCCGCGAGGCTGCCTTCCCTGGCGTCTCCTGCCTTGTTTTGACTAAAATGTGTGTTTTCTCCTTGTCTTCCCCACCGCCCTTCTCAGCGCCCGGTTGGAAAGGAAAGAGCGGTGGGTTGAGGTCCCTGGAGTTGGCCAGGAAAGCAGGCGATGTTGCACAGTGCTAAAGTGGCTGTCCGGCTCAAGGAGATCACCAGCCCCTCTTCGCTGAAGTAATTTCCTTTTGGCCTTGCCAAGGGAAGACTCACCCCTTTGGCTTTGCCAGAACTGGCCTCGTGGGCAGCCGGGTTCTAGAACTTGTATCTTCTTTTCCTCTTTCCATCTACTTAGCCTAATGAAGTGAACAGTTAGGCAGGCTCTGGAGATTCCAGTTGGCGTTTGAATTGGAGAAATACATATGTATATCCTACAGAAAACCAGCGTGCTGGTTAAGTAGAACCTTTTCTGATTTCTAGAAATTTTCTACACGGTGTTCGTGCCGATGTATAGTTAACTGTGCTCTGCGATATATTTTAGTACACAGGTGGTTTTGGGTTACTTCACCACCCTGGCTCCTTAGACTGTCTAATCCGGGATACTTGAGGCTGGTGGCTGCTCGCTGTTAAATTTTGGAGTCCTGTCCCCTGGGCTGTGAGGGAGATCTTTTTGGTGACAGTGTTGCTGCCTGTGCCTTCCCTGGAAGTTGCAGTTCCTGTTCTTCCCGCATGTCCCCCAGACTTCAGGGAGGAAGGAAGTTTTAATCACCTATCTTGTCCATCTGTGTTACTCCTGAGATTGAAGTGTGGAATAATTTATGCATATTTCACTGGGTCGAGTTGTTCTGAGAGAATTCATACCCCAAGTGCAGTTTGGGTCCAGGATAGGGCTTTGCCGATGAATTCTGTCAGACTTGCTCTTGAGCCTTGGCAGACATGGAAGGTGTCTTCCAGTTAGTAGCTAACAAGAGGGTCTCTAGAAACAGGAGGTTTAGGTTGTAATCTCCACCCTTTGACTTGCAAACCTTCTGTCCCTAGCCAGGTTAGGAAATCTGTCTGGGCTTCCATCTCCTTGGTGTAAAAGTGGACCCAGTGGTTTCTCCATAAGGGGGCGGGAAGGAAGGAGGCAAGAGAGGCAAAGTGCTTAGCATGGCAAAGCTGTAATGACCGCATTCACCAGATAATTAGCTGATGCAGTAACTAGCACCACCCAGACTAGGCAAGAGTTCAAGGGCTAGGACAGACTCTGTTTCTGACCCGGCAAGGTTACAGGTGGGTGACATAGGAAACAAATCCTAGAAGGGTTGGGTGGTCAGCTTCCACAGCCGTGGCCTTGTCTCTAGGCGCTGTTGAGACCAGAAGTGAGCAACTCAAGAAGCAGAGAGCACTTGTGTCCAAAGCCAGAACCCTCCTCCTGCCTTCGACTCCTGGCTTTCACATGCTAACTTCAGGCAGAAGCACAAGCGTGAGCGCTGTCACTGCGGCCTGCTCGGTGGCGCCGATGTCGAAGTCAAGTTTCTTTAGAATGTGCTCGCAGAATGTGTCATTCTCTAGTTGTGAGATAATAGGTTGAGATGACTGGCAAGGCAGAGTCCAAGTTGAAGACAGTCTTGGACGAGCTGCCCTGGGTGGAGCTTGCGGCTCTGATTGGATAGCTGTCTTTTGAAGTGGACTTCTCGGAGGCTCAGGAAGGTCATAGAACTGCAGAGGTCAGGCAGCTAGTGTGGCTGACCCTGCACTCCCCTGTCAACAGGCTTTCAGAGGGTGGTTACAGAAGTCGTTGCAATGTCCCCTGATAGAATTTTCTGGCCCTTGGTGAATGATGTTCAAAGGGCACTCCAGGCCAGCCCAGTGATGTGGACTTCAGTGGGTTCTGCGTGAGCTTAAATCTAATGAAGTAAGACACAGTAGGAAGGTCCTGTGGCATTTTACTTGACAAACACTGACGTCTTTATACCTGCTGCCGTTTAGAAAAGCCTGCTATTTCTTTCACATCTGGGCAATATCTAATAATGTTCAACCTGAGATTTTTAATTGTCGTGTCAATACAAACAACGTTGTACGTGAGATACGCAGATTATGTAGAAACTTCAAAGATGCTTCCAGAAACTGCCTGGCACATCGCACGAGGCTTAAGTTCTAAGGCAAACCACCCCATTGATTTTTAAAAATTAATATGTAATTTGGTAACTAGGGATTCTGTCTTATAAAATAAGTTTTTCAAAATTCAGGAGTGAGACGTTTCAACTACCGAGAAATAATTACACTTAATTCTGTGATGGTTTAATTAAGGTCATGGAATATAGAGCCAGTGTCCTATTTTTATAGAAAAATATTTGATATTTTCAGTTGCACGGAGGGAACTAGTTTGTCCTCACAGTTTTGGAGGCTTCATTTCTACAGTCTATGGATTCTGTTGCTTTGGAATGACAGTGGTATAGTATAGATGGCAGGTGTCCGTGAGCAGGGGGACAGGGTTAGGGTGTGCTCCCAGTGACTCACTACCCTGTGTGTGTGTGTGCGTGCACGCGCACGTGTGTATGTGTGTGTGAGTGTGCGGTGTGTGCATGTGTGTGCGTGCGTGTGCATGTGTGTAAGTGTGCATTGTGTATGTCTGTGAATGTGAGTATATGTGTGTGCATGTGCGTATGTGTGTGTGAGTGTGCGGTGTGTGCATGTGTGTGCGTGCGTGTGTATGTGTGTGAGTGTGCATGTGTGTAAGTGTGCATTGTGTATGTCTGTGAATGTGAGTATATGTGTGTGCATGTATGTATGTGTGTGCTACACATGTGGAGGGCAGAGGCTCTGATGAATAGGTTTTGTCACCTTAGGGCAAACTACAATCACCTAGCAAGAGGCAGTATCAGTTAAAGAATTGCCTCTGTCAGATTGGTCTATGGACATGTCTGTAGGGAATTTTCTTAATTAATGATTTGTGTGGGAAAGCCCAGTCCACTCTGGGCAGAGTCAACCCCAGGTAGCTGGTCGTGGGGAGCTTAACAAAGCAGGTCAGACAAGCCTGGAAGAGAAAGCCCGCCGGTAAACAGCATGTCTCAGTGGCTTGTGCCTCAGTTCCTGCCTCCAGGCTTCTGCCTTGAGCTCTTGTCTTGACTACCTCGAAGATGTAACCTGTAAGTCACGTACACCCAGGTAACTTTCTGGTTAGTGTTACAGCCCACACCAGGAAAGTTAGCTAAGACAGAGCCTTCCCTTGGCCCTGCCCAGCAGTGACGGGAGATCAGAGCAGCACCCGAAACACAGGGGCCTGTGGGGGACAAACAGGGACAGTTGTGATTTTGTAGGTTCTTTTTATTGTTTGCGGCTAGGCATGGTTAATTTTTTTTTAATTTTTTTATTAAGTTAGCTTATAAAGAGTTAGGCTTCATTATGGTATTTCCCAAACACTTTTGTTTGTTTCTCTTTCCCCATTCTCCTTTCCCCTCCCTCCATGGTGCCCCTTCACCCACCCCTTCCATGCCAGTGTGATCTTTTCATGCATGGTTTCAATGCGTAGGGTTTTATTTATCTTGGGGAACCAGAAGGGTGTATTCCCAAGCCAAATAGAATATTTTAAAAAGTGTTTTATCTTATTATTTTATGTGTATGGGGGTTTTGCCTCATGTATGTCTGTGTGGCACGTGTGTGCCATGCCTGTGGAGGTCAGACGAGGTCACTGGAATCCCAGAACTGGAGTTACAGATGGCTCTGAGCTGCCATGTAGGTGCTGGGAATTGAACCCCGGTCCTCTGCAAGAGCAGTCCTAGTGTGTGGAGCCTCACAAGTGACATCTTGCCTAGGTGGTTCTTGAACTATTCCTTCCTCGTCCCAGGGTAATTGTTAGAGATTTTCAGGCCATCAGAGCGGAGCCACAGCCATGTCTCCTTGTCTCTGAGCTGCTGATCTCTGCTCACAGGCATTGGAGAACCTTCTCCATGGGTTTCCTCACCTTCTGTTCCTGTGTCTGTTGTCTCGGGCCTGCTGCTAATCAGCACGTGACCTTGCTCCTATCAGTGTGTCTGCACGGCAGCCTCAGTGTGATTGGAAATGTAGTTCTCTCTGTGAGTGCCACAGCATACACGCGGGGTTCAGTTCGCTTTTTCCTGGCAGTGGGACAGGTCCCAGGGAGGGAGGCTAGTGCTCACTAACCATCCCACTGGCCCTTCAGGGTGGTGTTAAAGTCCCTTGAACACTGCAGCTGCAAATAGTCAAGCTTCTTCCTGCTTCCTTTGAGTGATAGTTATACTTTGGAGACAGCATGTTTTTATTTATTTATTATATTTATTTATTTATTTATTTATTTATTTATTTATTTATTGTAGACCTGACTGTCCTGGAACTCCCCTGTGGACCAGGCTAGCCTTGGACTAACAGAGGTCTGTCTATGCCTTCTGAGTGCTGGCTTTAATGGTGTGTGCCACCACACCCAAACTGATGTTTCTTAATGTAACTTTTTAATCTAAAGATCTATATAAGATACACTTGTATTGACTTAATGGGGAAACTACCTTACATCCTAGAAGGTGTATATATTTAGAATGAACAGATTTTTTTCTTCTTTTAGTGATATCTTAGAGTTATAGTTTTCTCCTCCCCCCCCCCTCC